GGGCGGGGGGGAGGAGAGCAATGGAGATAGATTCAAGTGGAGTGACCACATAATGGTGGTGTCCACGTCACAATGGTTCATCTTTCTGGCTACTGTTTCTATCTTTATTCCACTACTCATTGACAGGACCCATAAAGCAAGGAGCCACCTTCGCGTTTCTTTCCTTTGTTTTGTTATCTGCGAACCATGTTGGAATTAATGCTAACATCACAACCACAAACTAATATAATGTTGTTGGTATATATTAATATGGGCAACTGATGCCATCTTCCACTTTAGATATCTTCTCCCTTATCACATTGTGGCTAGTGCTACAATATGCTACCCTCCTTAACCATCTCCAAAAATCCCCAGTAGTGGAATATTGTTGACAGACCAATGGATCTCCATCGCCCATCTCTATATTAATTGTTCGTTGTCTTCTCAAATGAAAACGAAAGGTGCTCCAGAACGCTGTATTGATTAAGCTGTTGACCGGAGAACAAGTCCTCAATGATTAATCAAACGAATCCGACCCGCAATTTGATTGGCGGAAAGATGAAACAGACACCTTTGCATCGACCAAAAATACCGTCGTCTTGATTTTAAGGCAACAATCAACCCTCTAAATTACAGTGATTAATCGATCGATGCAGAGTTGTGAGTTTGGTTCAAGTAGTTAAGTTGATGTCGAAGAAAATCTAGAATGCTAATCTATATACTTATGTTCTTAGAAACGACAAATGTCAATGCCCATTTAGACCTGCTGGGTTTTAGGTTGTTAATCTTGGTTTTCCTACGCAAAAGGACTCCGGTCTCGAGGCTGATAAAATGAAAGAACATGTAAACACATGAGAAATAATACAATTTTTGGCCTCGCATATTTAAGACAAAATATTATTTCAATTTAATTCAACTTTTTTTTTTTGACAATGGTCTCAAGAATTCACACCTATTGATGAGGTAATATTTTTTTTTAATTTTTTTTTTATGGACTGATGCGAAGTTTTTATTATAAAAATATTAAAATCATGTTATATTGATTTTATCAATGAATGCAATATATACCATAATTCAATTAATTATATACATCTATTTTTTGATTTAGATAATTTAATCCATTCATTTTTATAAGGTGGTTAGTGAATCATACTTTACAAATATAAAACATATGGGGATGAAAACTAAACCTCATCAATAGCGTTGTATGTGAGAAGTTATATTAAGAAGCTTCAAATTTAATTCACGGAGGAGTTTATAGATATTGTTCCTAAGAGAACAAAGCATTTTCGTTGAGATAAGGAATGTCCCATCATTAGAGAATTGTGTGATTGCATTAGAGAGATTATATTAATCACTTCCAAGCTAAATTGTGTTGTGACACTACGGAGGTGTTTATAATTTTCAAAGTAAATGTGCTATTGCATTAGGCAGAATGAATTCTTCCCATCCTTAAAAAGTTAAGAGGATTAAGCTCTAGGGAGACCGTATTCATCCCTATTGTTAAGGCAACATCCATCTCATCTTTAAAGAGATGTATGGTGATACTAGAAGGACCATGTCAATCCTTTCTAAGATAAATGGTGTTGTAGTATTAGAGAGATGTTCATTCATTCTAAAGTAAATGTGCTATTGCACTTGGAAGAATGAATCTATCCTATCCTTGAAAGGTTGAGGGGCTTATGCCCGGGGAGAACTTGATGATTAGAAAGCATTGTTCATTTGAATAATTTAATTTATATACAATAAATTTATATTCTTAGTCATTGATCATAATATATTTTTATAGGTATAATCAACCAGAATAATATTATAGTTTGGTCCTAAAAAAGCGAGGGAATGGTGTTTCTCTAATAGAGGTTTTTTTGGTGGTTGCCAAAGAGACTTCTCTTAGATCAATATATTTTTTTGGATTATTCTGAAAGTATAATTGGTGAATAAGAAGGCAACCCTCGTGCTCTGAGATAATTTACCTGAAATCCTCTACTTGTAATAACTCATGAAGTTGAATGGTTTGAACCAATATTCTGTAGGTACTCATTAAAAGTTTTTCAAAATCTCGAGGCTCTAACTCTGATATGTTAGCTGGAGATGATAATGAATCGGCTTTTAGAAGAGTTATTGATAATTTTTTGATTTTTTTACACAAACAACATCACTAATAAGGTAAAGTTTTTCTATATAAAAAAATGACATATTTATTTTTAAACTTTCTTTTAAATTATAATTGTCTTTTCTCTCAAACAATATTTATTTAATTACCGGGGAGTTTCTAAATACATCAAAGGAAAGTTTTTGCAGATACCAAATATAATTTACCGACCATCTCACAAAAAAAAATATAAATTAAATTACTAAAATTAAGAGATTAATCAAACATCTCAAATATTAGTTTATCCTCCAAGCCCATGAAATAAACTTGGAACTCATTAGTAATCATAAATCAACTATCATTAATTAGTAAAAATTCCTTAGTATCTCTACTATTATCTAGAAAGAGGATGTTGAAATTTTTCTATTATACAAATTCCATTGCTTTTTCTCGTAAAAATAAATTTATGAATTCAACTTCAAGTCTTTCGATTCACAAATTTCAGGAGAGGGAAGGAGATCGAATCTTGCTTTACATTAATTTTATAAATTTACTCTAAAACCAAATTTACATAAGTTATTAGCACGTATTACAAAAATGAGATTTTTTTTTTCACGATTCGTTAATATGGTGCTGCTTGATTAATGAATGGTAAAAATATAAAATATCCACACTGAATTCTACAAAAAGTACGTAGTAGCTATGTATACATTTTCTTGTGTTAAAAATAGTTATATATTGCTATTTTGTAGTTCTATACATGCATATATACACCCATAATTCAATATAAAACATTCACATCTAATTTATTAAAAAAAACACAATAGATATGTTTTTGTTTGTTGAAAAATATAATACTATTTGATAGTCTCGTATTATCATTTCGTGGTTTATATTATATTGTTAGGTTTCGTTTGTTTGTTGAAAAGTATCTTTTTTGAAAGTGAATTTCAGAAAAATAAATACCGAAAAAGTAAATTATTTTTCAATGTTTGGTAGTGTAATAAAAAATAAATTGAAAAAAACTTTCCAGTGTTTGGATATATCATGAAAAATAAGTTGAAAAATAACTTATTAATAATTTATTTTTTTTAAGTTTATTAAAATTATAAGGAACAAATTTTACAAATTAAAAGTTGAATGAGAATGAAATTGAAAAAAATATAATTTTATAAATTATCTAAAATAAAATAAATAATAATCAAAATAATAGAGATCAAATAAAAAAAATTAAAAGATGAAGAAATTAAAATAATAATAATTAATATTTTATAAATTATTTCAAATAAAATAAGTAACAATAAAAAGAATGAGGACCAAATTTGATAGATAAAAAAATTTAATTAAAAAATAATAAGGGAAAAACAAATAACAATTATAAAAATAAAGACCAAAATTAATATAAAAATTAAATTCTAAAGGATGAAATTAAAAAAAATATTCAAAATAATATATATAATCAGCAAATAATATGATATTTTTAAATTTTTCATAATTTTTAGAAAGTGTTTTTCGATTAGAATAAAATAAAAATACTTTTTTAAAAATCAAGTTAAATTTTTTTTGACTAAAAAATATTTTTTTTAATTAAATAGTGTTTTCTATTAGTCAATATTTTTAATAATAAATAAATATAAAAAATTTTAAAAGTAATTTTGAGAAACCATTTTTTAATAAAGAAACTTCCCCTTCAATCCTTTTCTACTCAACCTTTACAACACGTTATTGAATTGTATACAAATGGAAATAGTTTAAATGACGAGTGGCAACATGTTTGTATAACAACTACTAACCACCACCAGTTATATAATAATATTTGAAGTGAAGATTAAACAATAAAAACAGATTAAGATAATCTTGATATAAGGAGGCTGAAGGAATTGTGGACGTCAACTTCTGTTAGCATAATTCTTAAGCAGGATTGAGGAAACTGATACTATGGAACGCATAAAAAATGTATTTCCTATATATAATAATATTTATTCCCTCCATTGGGGGCGCTCGCGCGACTTCTGAACAAGTGCTTGCTATTCCCTGCTTTTCAAATTTTGTCCTCTTCTTTTAGTTAGCATTTATAGCCTCCATAGCTGTGGCCTTTACTAAAGTCGAGGGACATGCACCTCCTCAAAGTGAATGCAAGGGGGAGAAGAAGATGTAGGGACTTCCATCAACTTATTCCTTTTTATCCAATCATAAATCCTGAGGTCGTCCTCTTTCTGTGGAGTTCTCTTTAAAGCTTATTATCCCTTTCCTCACCTTTTATAATGGCAAGTATAACATGAATATATCTCCATAGCTAATGCTTCAGAATATACATAGCAGTATAGCATAACACAGCTTCTATTATATACGAACAAGTCTGACATGGTCCCAATTGGCTTAAGCACATGTCTAGCAACAGACATCAATTATTATCGTATAAACAGACTGTCAGAAATGAAAATTAAAGCTACTAATTACTCACTATATTAATTTTTCTATCAAATGCTTAATTCAGTGGAGAAGCACATGTTTATAATATAGCGATTGATGTTATAACAGGAGCTGATTATCAAAGTTACGTCAACATATCAAAACCTCTTACTTTGGTTATTGCCTATAGTGGCTGACATCAAATGCATTAGATGAATATCAGAAAATGAGCATGCGCATACCAAATGTACGGTGAAGATTGCAAAATGATGATTATCATAATAACTAAAACCTGCACACAGTCTCCCACTAAGGCTAACTTGCTTGTATAAATATGAGCCGTGCTCAACTAGATCCCCCCAAGTACCAGTAAGAAGGTGAGCTGAAGGTTGGAGATAAGACAGAGAGAAGAGGCAGGCAAAAGGGAGACAAAGAAAATGATGCAAGACGAGATCCGAAAGGGTCCATGGACAGAAAAGGAGGACATACTACTGATCAACTTTGTGCACTTATTTGGAGATCGACGATGGGATTTTATAGCGAAAGTATCAGGTTTGAAGGTGGCGGGAGACACGTAATAGGTATGAATATATGGCGATGGGTGGTTTTGTAAAGGAACTACCTTTAACAACCTAGTTTTGTTGTAGGTTTGAACAGGACAGGAAAAAGTTGCAGGTTGCGATGGGTTAATTATCTCCACCCTGGTCTTAAAAGAGGGAAAATGACACCTCAGGAAGAAAGACTTGTGCTGGAACTTCACGCCAAATGGGGAAATAGGTTTGAGATATGATCAGAAGTTTGCTTCTTTTTTTCTTACCTCTTTAATCATAATCCAACCATTTATTTACAGTTTATTTTCTCCATGATGATTCTTAGATATATATTACTGAGAATTTTCCCAATTCTGATTTACAAACTTCCCTTTAATTTACTATGCCTGTTTTAGTATAAAGCTTAACCATCATCTCTTTCGCCCTCATAATTTCTCAGATTGTTTTGATCTTCACTGAGTATTTGGTGGTAAAAAATTTATCATGTGCAGATGGTCAAGAATTGCTCGCAAATTACCTGGACGTACTGATAATGAAATAAAGAACTATTGGAGGACTCATATGCGCAAGAAGGCTCAAGAGAGGAAAAGGGCCATGTCCCCTTCACTATCATCTTCAAACTGTTCCTCTTCATCCAATACCACTACAGTGAATTCATCACCTCTTCCACGAACTGGAGAAACAAGTTTCTATGACACAGGAGGGCTCGAACAAGTTGTTTTAGCAGGAAAAAATGGCGAGGCAGTGCAAGGAGGTGAGAAGGGATACTCGATGGATGACATATGGAAAGACATTGAAAACACTATTGAACCAGTTTGCGATGGGTTTAGTGAAAAAGGTTGCAATTGTTATTGTCCTTCGTTGGCTTCGCCGTCATGGGACTATTGTCCAGACACCCTTTGGAGTTTCGGTGAAGAAGAGGGCAAGATATTTCTCCCTTACGACGATGGGACAACGATTTTGACTGGCTAATCAGAAATTCTTTATTTAAATTTGTTAATATATGTGATATTTCTCCGAGGAAACTCTAATCCTGTATAGCATGAGTTTTCTCTAAGCTTTATGTGTAATCATCTTATGCATCCTGTCCCAGTGTTTTGTGTGTTTTCACTTTTCTGATAGGAAGGGATAACCTTATTAGCGGATCTTCTATGTGCAGATTGTAATGTTCAGCAATGTATAATAGACCTTTAAGCATCAATTTCGAAATCAAGTTTCTACTACGTGCAAATTGTTGATAGAAAATGAATTAGTTCCATCAGCATTTTAGCATCCTATTCGATTAGAAATCGAAGCACTTCTCATATAAATTACAGGAAATTTACAATTACACATTTAACCTAATTATTTTATTAAGTGTATTTTACTTAAAAATATATTAAAATAATTTTTTTTTTATTTTTTAAAATTATTTTTGACCTCGGGGTGTATCCAAAATAATTTAAAAATACATCAAAAAATATTAATTTAAAATAAAAAATATATCTTTCTATTTTTTTCAAAAATACTTTTAAAAACTCTAAACCATGCTATAGTATCATAAGCGAAACATAACATTCTTCTCTTGGTCCATTGTTATCTATTCTATGCACATTCTAAACGAAATCATTGTCCCCATCAATGCTCGTGTAGAGAAAAAAAAAAACAATCAGGATCCTCATGATCTACACAAGCTCTCTTGGAATTGAGTTATGAGTCATGACTGGCTTTTGTGGTTTAGGTAGCCCTAAATGCACAGTTTAAATAAAATTCATCATTATGATTACCTAGCTATGCTTAGCATCGATCGATGAAATAAAGGTAGGTGGATTGATGATGGTGAATTAATAAGGCAGGTCAATTTGTTTAGTTTACAAGGATCGATCGAGGTTATGGGCTGCTCAGCACCAACTCCAAAAAGCTGCTTTGCTAAAGAATGGTCCTGATAAAATGCTTGTATCTATGTCTTCCCGAAATAATATAATATTTTAGTGCTGCGCTTCTCAAATCCATTATATCTGTTTAATTAGTGTATTTATTTATATATATCTTTCGTCCAATATTGAAGTCTTCTGGCGAAAAGAAAAGAAAAAAGAATGGACACTTTCATTTCACTTCTAGTGAACTTGCATTAACCTGGCCCCGCTTGCCACTAAGGTCAAAGAGCAACTAACAAGAATGGGCAAAAAAAATGACACTATAAACGTTTATGCCCTCTCCCTTGTGTATTTCGGTAATGATTCCTTCGGCACTTCTTACAATTTACTAAGTTTAATCTCATAGAGAAGATCTTCCGATGATCCATGGCGATCATCACCTGAAAAGAAGGCTAGAATCCTGAACTTTCTAGATTTTCAACGAGGAATTAAGCAGATATCAACTATATGCTTAACCTCTATGAATAAGCGATGACCTTAAACCATTCCAAGCACAACCTTCATTAATTTCAAAACTTTAATCTGTGTAGTAGGTTATACTAAGGTTCTTCCACAAAGATAGGTTTGCTGTGAAAGATTCTCACCATGCCCCACAAGTTGCTAAATGTCCAATTTACAGTAGCAGACCATTCTTCCACTATCTACAGTAAAATCCTGCGTTTTGTTCCAAGTTCCCACTAGTTGTACAATTCATCTTATTCGATCTGTATGATTGGAAAAGTAAATACATTCGTTCAAACTATAACAAGTTCGCCACACATCTCTTGGACTTGAACGCAACGAGCACTTTTCAAGTACTCTTTCCATTGATTGTCTTAGTTCAACCAACCGTGATATTCTCGTGTCCTTGTTGTGTCTTTCTCCTAAAACTGTCTTCCTTCACTTTCGTTTCGAAAACAAAGCAAACATAGGACTTCACTTTATGGCTCCTTCCAAAATATATATCATACCCAGCCCCATACAGTGGAAGACGAGGCAGTGCTTCGGCTCCCTTGCATCCAACATCATCATTAGCTATATATGTTACTAGCCTACCACTACACATAAAATTTCCCTACAGCTAATCATGTCTTTTCAATTTGAAGGATATTGTCACATATCTGGGGTTGAGAGCACAAAACAATGAGAAAATTAAATATTTGCTTTCTATAGAAGAAGGCATCTAGCTTGGTCCTCAGTGAATCCTGCACTTTTTTATTCCTTCATACGATGTAGCACTCCACTACGGGTCATAAATCAATTCTAACGCAAAAGAATATGTGAGTGTTGTTGAATTTTTTTTCTCGGGCAATGAAAAATCTGAAATGCGAATTTAAAACTTGATCACTCATATGTTGAATAAAATTAATCGATATCTATATACATTAATAAATACTAACAAGAATTGTAAACAATATTAAATAAAGACTAAACGGCAATGCTAGGCGATGAATGCAGATAAATAAATATAATTTTGCATTTTGTCATACTATTTAACATTTTTTTAATTATATACCAATATTTTTTTAAAAAGATAAAAAAATAAAATAACAATAAAATAACTTGCTAGAATAGTGCTGGTGCTTTTCGTTGACTTGACTTTGCCTCGTGACGTAGTTCCTTGCATGGCTTGTGTCGCGGGGTTGTGCTAATGCGATGTTGTCTAGCAACGACGAAGACTCTTGTCGTATTTCATGTGTGAGGTGTGGTGTGTTGTAAAAAGTTTTTAGATTTAATTATAAAATTACGATTAATGTTTAAGAGTTGCTACCTAGTATTATGGTCATTAGGAACCTATAGTCTGCAAGAGTTCGAGTAAGGGACTGGTTGTGGAAGGAGAATACGCATCACCCCTAGCGTACCTTGTCTAAGGTAATCTGTATTATTATTTGATTGTTTTTCTGGATCAGGCTTCTATTTGTTGATATTTTCTAAGATTCAAGATAGATATCTCTTCATGAGAGAGTCTCTACCTTATTGGGTTAATTTTTAACTGTTCTAAAGTCTAAATTTTAGCATCGTATTTTTACACCTTGCATCTTTAATACCTGAGGGTGTATTTTATCTTGTAATTTACACCCCATAAATATTAAAATCTATATCTAGATCCTAAACAAAGATTGAAAAAATATTTTTGACATATTGGTCAAATCCTAATAGATAATCATAAACTGGTTATAATATCTATTTTTTATTTTGTTAAACATGAAAGAGATACAAGTTTTTTTTATGAAAAATATGCTTGAAAAAATTTTAACACTTGACAGTATGCATAAAAAAAAAAATCTTTTTTTTTGAAAAGGGAAATTAATTTAAAAGTTTTTGAGATTTTTTTTGAAAATGTTTTGAAATATTTTAGAGAAAAACAGGTATTTTAATATTGAATTTGTATTTTACAATGTAAATATACAACCCGATATTATGAAAAATTAATAGAAAAATATTTTTGGAAAACACAATTTTTTAAAAGGCTTTTTGAATTTGATTTTTTTTGGGCCGAGCCGAACCCAACCTAGGAATTTGGGCTATGCAAATAATTGGCCCGCCTAATGTCCACTGGAATTGTGGATGTGAATTATAATTTACGTCCACTGTTTAAAATAGTGGAACTACAAGGAGACAAAGGTGAAGCAAGGGAAGGGGAAAAAGCGCGAACACATGGGATGCTTACTTAGAGTAGGAGGTTGCGACTGCAATGAGGAAGTTCAGACAGTGGTTTAAGAGGCATCGTTGCGATGAATGATGGCTGGGGTTGGTCACAGCATGAAGAAGAAACATTTTGTAGAGGAGAGAACGAAGTTCATGGTGGCTTATTATAGAAGCAGTGGTAGCTGGCCGGTGGTCTTGGCAACGTGTGGTGGTGCTGGTTGCTCAAAGAGGAGCTGAAAGAAGAAACGGTAGTTACAGGAGGGCCAATGAAGAAGAAGAAAATGTTAATGGCGATTCCAATGAACTGTTGTCACTGTTGAGGAAGCAAGGGAAGCTAATGGTGGAGAGGGACAAGTGAGGTGGAGAGGATGGTGGTCAAGTCGGTGATAGGGGTGGTGGTGGCCGCGGTTGGTTGTTAGGTCGGCAGAGAGAGAGAGACAGAGAGAGTGGTAGAAATAGGAAAAAAGTTGGTTTTTTAGCTTACTTTGAACTCAATTTTCTCTTCCTTTAGACCATGAAATCCACTTCTATTTATAGGCAGTGGAAGGGGGCAATCTTGTCTACACAGGGGAAAAATTACAACTTTGATTCAGTTGGGAAGAATTCCAACTGTTGGTTTAAAGTATGCATGGTGCACTGTTAAATCTGTCGTTGCAGGTGTCTATGTTGGCCTCTTTAGGATGGTGTCACGTCTGTTTATTTGCCAGTGTGTCGGTGACGACTATACCCTGACGTAAAGGGATATCTGATGATTAGTTTCGTGTAAGTTTTGGCAAATTTAGTGGATGTTAGGTATATTAAATTCAGCTGCAAAGCAGGTAACTAGACCAACCTTTTCAAAAAAAAATAAAAAAAGATAATAAACAGTATTGAGTTCTGTTTTTTTGCCAAAATTCATTTCAGTTCTCCCTCTTTAAATTTGATTTAATTGCATTTTAATTAACTTCAAAACTTCAATTTTCTTGTAATTTGGTCCTTGATTTCATTCAATTAACTTGGAAAAAAAATTAAATTTGGTATCTTAAAATCTCAATATTCTCAATTAAGCTCAAATTAGGCTTCCAAACTTAATTTTTCACCAATTAAGCGCCAAATAAAATTAATTTGACTCATATAAAGTATAATTAAGTCTTTGTACTTAATTAAATCCTTCAATTGAACCCAAATTAATTCTTAAACATAATTAAAATTCAATTTGGCCCTTGATCAAATTGGCCTATTAAAAATTTAATTATGCCCTTAGACTTGATTTTTATGCAAATTCATCCAATAATCATTTAATTTGATCTTGAATTTGTATTTTCTCTTTATTTTGTGACATAATGAGGTGCAATTAGGTCTTAAATTTCCTCCAAAATTGTAACTTAATTCCCCGACTTGTTTTCTCTACGTTGCCATCCTTTATTATTATTTTTGGATTTTTATTTTAAAAAAATTAATTTTTGAGAAATAATCTAGAATTGGTTTATGACAGCTTGAGTTTCAATCTCAGCATTATTAGAGTTGGCACAACATGGCTTGTTTGACCTGGCAAGTCCAAATATGACTCATTCTTTCTATTCAAGACCTGATCTAGCTCCATAACAATTCTTAAGCTATTATTTTTTTAACCTCTGCTTAACCTAATCGGGATAAAATATGAAATAAAAAACTATACAAGGATAAAATAAATAAAAATTAATTTAGAAATTGAAATGAAAAGACAATGGCATACTAGGTTAACTCTAGTTAACTAGCTAAATTTTCAACCCATGTCTTGGATACAACCACAATCAGCTAACCTAGTTGGACCATCTATCTCTTTCATTTCTCTTTTCTTCTTTTTAGGGCCTTTACTAGGCTTAGATAGGAAGAATCTAGGCTAATGATGTGTTAGCGTGCAAGGAAGCCCATGACATTAAAGAGGCACATGTGGCTTTTTTGGAGCTTTAATAACAACCTTATTTGATGTCATTTGAATCTTCACAACAAAAGCTTTTATTTAAGGCAACATATGTCATAAACACAGGCTCGACAACCTATTTTTCTTTCATTTCTTTTTCTTTTTTCTCTCGTTATCTCTCGCCACCTTAGCCCTGGGCATGAATTCCTCTCCTTTATATTCGGTCCCTGCACCCTTAAAGTTTTTCTAATAACAAATCAAGTCCCTCAACCCTTAATTTATCTTTATGCAATGAAAAAACTTATTTTTTTTAAATCAAGCATTAACAAAATGCCAAAGCATGATATCGCAAACCCGGACAGCCCATAATGAACCAACTAAACCAATCTTTTAGGCTCAAATTAGAAACAACATATAGTCCAAGGATGAAATTGTAAAACATAACTTGGGGAGTGAATTTAAAAAATGAGGACCAAAATTAACAAATAAAAAGGTTAAAGGAGGATAAAATAAAAAAAATTATAATTTCATAAATTATTTTAAATAAAAAATAGCAATTAAAAGAATAAAAATTAAATTTAAAAAATAAAAAGATCGGATATTTTCATAAATGAAAAATAATTTTTTTAAAAAAAATAATTAAAAAAAAAACATTTCATGAAACAATGGAACTTGTCAAAACATAGAGTAGAAGTAAATGTACAATGTATGTTCATCTATTCATTCACCCAAGAAAACATTAATTCATTGCCCTATACTCCGACTCCGTTGAATGAAACCATAATTGATGCCTCATCCTTCATTGCTAAATGCAAAATGTTCGAAGCTCTATCACTATTTAATGATTAAATACAAAAGATAGAGAAATTATCAAGTACCTAATGCTTCTTCACCCACAGAACGACCAAGGGCAATTTACCCTTAAATCTTCAAAATATTCATTTTAGTCCTCTCTAATGTTAACATTTCAAACTTATCCTCTTCAAAACATTATTGTAAAATATTTTTTAATCTTTGCTCTGCCCCTCACGACGACCCACCATGATAACTACAAATGAGTCTCACTTCTTATGCTAATAAAAAATCATTACTCCATAGTTCCTAATAATCTCTTACAAAACATAAACCTCTAACCTTGGAGACGTACTAGTAGTTCAAAGCATAGACTGCAAGGCGGAGAAATTGCAAGAAACCGATTTTCTGTATAATTGGAACTGATCTCAAGATAGAACAAAAGAAGAAGCATATTTCATATCAGAGTAATTTCAGTTCAACCACCCAAATTTCTTAATAAGAATTGTGAACATTACCATATAAATATATAATTGAGATCTTTGAAGGTAATTTATGAAAAATATATAATTGAGATCTTTAAAGGTAATTTATGAAAATACAATTTTATATTAAGAAGTAATATTAAGAAAAATGCATCTTTATAGTTATAAGACATGCACTGCTTTCCCAACTTAACCTGAAACTTGATTGATCTAAAGGATGGACCAGTTTAGGTTAAAAAGTAAAAAACATAAAAAAAAATACTTGGTTAACTTATTTAAAAGCTCTAGTTAATTTATTAAAATAGTTTATTTGAATATAATCTAGTCAAAACTCGATTTTAAATTTATTAATTTTTATTTTATTTTTAAAACAGCATCATTTTAATGTTCTCTTTAAAATAAATTATAGATCAAACTAAATTGACCCCCTCATTACAACTATGATTTTCGAGATGTTAAAAGTGCCCTGGCTAAATTATTATCAAGAAATTCGAGAAAAAAAACCAAAGAAAGTAGATGCAACCCGAGCCCCAGTGGACACAATATAAGGGGTATGGGCCTTGGAGCAGGAATGGACAGCCAAATCCATTGTAAATTTGTGGATTTGTCTTCGATTAGATGGCAACCATATCAGTTGACTTGAATATAGCGCGCAGATTTTTCTTTTTGTGAGAGACCCTCTGTTCGCCATCCTCAACCACACGCATCACTCTAGACTCCAGCCGTACAATGCCTGCATTTTCGAAGCTCTATCTCTTCGCCTACAATTCCCTCCAGGCCTTTGGATGGTAATGATTGCCTCTTCTTCCTCTCCTTCTCTTTTATATGTTCTATCTATCTCTAAACTAATTAACAATGTAGCACTATCGTTAATTTCCATTGCAGGGCAGTTTCTCTCTTTGCAATTCTGATTAACTTCTTTTCCACTCACTCACTCAATGGAGCCTATGCTTCTGCTGGAGACCTAATCTGTCAGCTTTTTCTTTTTAATCTTTTAATGTCTTATCATTATCATCATCATTATTATTGTCGAGCATTTTACTTGGCAAAAATGAATTTATAGATAGGTTGATCACACATCCGTATTTGAAGTGACCCACCGCATCTATGTCCGGCTGGCCGAAGCTTATTTGGCATTTTAATTGGACCATAGAGCATATAATCTTTTATTGTTCAAAATTGAATTCTGATTTTAATTGTTTTCTATTCAATATTTGTTTTTGAAGGTTTGTTGCAAACTGCTTCTTTCTTGGAAGTGATTCATGGAGCATTGGGTAGGTAACTTATATATGAAGCTTTATTAGTCCCTTCTTAGTTTACATGGAATAATCTAATCTTGCTTCTCTTTTCGAAATGTAAGGCATTGTCCCAAGTGGGGTGTTGTTCCCTTTTATGCAGTGGGGAGGAAGAACCCATTTCGTGTTGGCCATTGTTCGTCAAATCATTGAGGTTTATATCTCTTCCTTTTTATGATTCTTGTTTCCTTTAAGCAAGCAAAGAAACATCCATTTAAGTTCTTTGTCTCGATCATATGTTTTCACCAATGATAAATTTCGGTGATAAAAAAATGAACACAATCACGGTACTTTTGTTAGAAAAAATTGGGGGCAGGGAATCATGGTGGAACACACATATCACTTATTTTATGGTATTCTTCTAAGATAGGAAGTCCTGTGAATTTGGACTCGGATGACAATACTCTTAACATCATTAATACTTTACACACATGCACCTAAAAGAATTAAAGGATTATTTGAATTGATTCCCTTTTACTTTTTTTCTGAACTTCAAAATTAATTCCAATTCTGTTGTCTCTTACCTCCACTGATTCTCTATGTGGTGCAAGATGAAATGGAGACATGATGAATTCCCACTTGCGTTTATATGATATGCTTTCCAGCTTAGCTTTAATGAAATGATTCTGTAAATTTTGCAGGTCCAGGAATTACCATCAATTTTTATAACTTTTGTTGCTTGGAGCATGGCCGAGGTCAGTTATTTAACTACTGGCATATTATCTTGAATTTTAGAAATTTTATTTGTTTGTTTTGTAGTTTATCTGTAGACAGCCAAGGAAGTTTCACTTGTGACAATGATTTTTTTTTATTCAGTGACTTATATAGCAAGGTTTTTATGCATGAAAGTGGGCAACTGCATGGCTCTTTTCGTATATTTCTGCATTTGAAAACTGAATGAGCTTCCTTGTGATTTTTTCTAATTGCATTCTTGGTTGAGCTGTCGACTTTTCACGGTTCTAGGAAAGCAAGGCAAAAGGGAAAGAAAAAGGCCTATAAATGAAATACATGTGATCACCGATCCCTTTTCTGGTTGGACACTAATTGAGTACGCTGTTGACTGCCCTTTAGTAGAAGAAAATCTGTTAGATACTAGAACAGCAGCAACCTAAAGTTAGAATACATGCTGGCAGGCATGGAAGTAATGGGGGTTTATTAAGGATCAACTTGTCTATTGTACCATTCAGTGTCCATGGGTGTATTGTCGATTTGTTTAGCACAGAAGGTGAATTGTTATTTTTGGTATGGAACCTGCAATTCAAGGTTAGTAGACTTCACTAAATTTAGGGTTTGATATTTATGATTTTCTTTGTCATGTTCTTCAATGCTTGATGTCTGATTCCATGACCTCTTCATAAAAAGGTTGTTTAGTCTGCATAATGGTGCTGAAAAATTGGAGCTCCATTTGCGGCTTTACTTGCTTGTTTTCCTGTGCTTTGTCATTCCTTCTGCTATACCATATAATACATGCATATTTTGTTTTCATTTTTTTATCTGAGTTCCAACAGACTATTTAGTGTTCGCTGTATGGTGCATCCAGTGCTTCTGCTCATATTTGTTCCTTTGTTTTCTCTGCTCATACTCGCAATCTTGGGTACAGGTAATTAGGTACTCACATTATGCTTTGAACTGCGTCGGAAGTTGCCCATCTTTGATAACATACCTCAGGTTTGCATTCTATTTTATTTAGTTTAAATTAGAATCTTACACACTGAATCATGCATACACACTTGCGCTCAAAGAAACAAACTACCTGCTGAAACATCAATCTCTCTCGCTCATCCACTCAAATAAAAACACATCCAAACTTATGTGTGAAAGCACAGTGTCTAGTGTCAGGATTTGTGCAGTAGGAGCTGAATTATTGTTAAATGTATTCTATAACTTCTGCTTTTGCTAGGTATACCGTGTTCATTGTGCTGTATCCTATAGGACTTGCTCCTGGTGAAAGTGAGTGCATGATTTCTCATTTTTCTTTATTTTCATGATTTACTTGCCACTTCATCTGCTGTTTTTGAAGCCTTTTATCTTGTAAGATTTTCATTCACCATTCACCATAATGCAGTGTGGACCATGTACCAAGCTCTTCCGTTTGTAAAGAAGAAGAATCTCTATGCAGATTTCTTTGCTGCTTTCCCTTTCAGCTATTATGATTTTCTCAGGGTATGTCTGACTTCTTGTGAGGTTGCACTATCATTATATTCACACAAACTAGAGTTTTTGGTTTTTTCCTGAGAGTAAGCAAGAGATGAAATTTAGTCAAACTTTGATCAGGGAATGAAATTTATTTAACTGGCATCAAGTATGGATTTTCATATTTAAAGAGTAAATTGTATTGAGGATTGCAATTGGGTGTAGTTATTTTACCTGTTTCATTTTCTTTTGGTCATTTAAAAAATCAAACTCTTGCCCTTTCTGGATCACCCTTTTTAGATGGTGGTCTTACCATCATGGCAAAACATTATTGGCAGAAAAGTGGAATGGATTTATGTGACGGGTCTTTATTGGAAAATGCTGTATGATAAGGCATATCTGGATTTTTCACACTAGCTAACAAACATCAATGCACATGGCGAGCCTAATCTGCCATTCCAGCCTGGTTATGAATTTATGAAATCATAATGAGATCTTCCCGGCTTGAAGTTAAAAACTGTTTGTTATGGCCTTTCAATTACTGGAAATTTTCTTTGCTGGAACACTTGCCAAAGTATTCCAAGCCTTCTGTAGTTTGCAAATTTTCTTAAGATTCAATATGTCAACCTGATGTGTGGTATGTGTATGCATCATAAGCACCACCAGGCTGCATTTCGCTATTGCTTTCAGATAAAGAGCGGAACTACTGAACTGTTGTCTATTTAAATACTCATCAAATTTTGTATCTTGAAATTTCCGGGTCAGGTTGTGCTTCTCTGCTATCCTTTCCTCTGGTTAAATCTTTATCGGTATTTGTTAAAGCAACGACGGTCAAAATTGGGTAGGCATCAAGAGACAAAGAAGAAGAAGTGAATGTTAAAGTTCTTTCATTGAGACGCCTGGTGACCATTCTTGTTGTTATCAATTGTGTTTGGTATTCAATTTCTGACAAATCTGATCGATGCATTTGCTACATTTATTGAATGTTAGAGATCTGATTTCTGGAGCTCCATGTTTTTTAGTCTGCCAGGCTGGTGCACAGTAATGAAAGGTTGACATGAAATTCTGATTATGCATGGAGTTGCTGTATATTGAAAATGAGAGGGCTTTCATTATTTACGAGGTGAGCTAATTCTATTTTCACATGCCTGCTAAGAATTTGATCTTCAATAAATAAATAAATTTTGCTTTAATCATACAGGTGCTACATAATATAAAAGTAATTATTTAAAACAGGACCTATACTATATGGTGTCCATTAATTTGTATCATGGCTTGCCATCTTGAATCTTGCATGTATGTTTTTGTGCAATGTACTCTACCTAGAAAATCAATGCCTCTTATTTAGATATAATCATGAATCAAATCTCCTTGCGCATGCCTTGGAATCCACTACAGACTGGTGTTCCTAAGCCACGGTCCACAAACCTTTCAAACATGGCTTTCTATCCGTACAAATATTAAGGTCGATAATTTCCACTCATTTGAATTCCTAGTTGTGATTAATTTACTCCCTTATCCGATGTTCTTTCATTAATGGTCTTCAGTTATGTTAAGATTTGTATTTTCAGTTAGTTAATCTTGAAGTTCATACGTAATTCTAATCCATATCTGGGGTTTTAACTGCCTTTCCTTCTAGATGTGTTTCAACTCGAAGTGTTTTCTCGTCCTTGATTTGCAGCTATAAAGAAAGCTAGCTATAAGCAATTTGTTTAGTATTTATTAACATTAGGACCGAGGGCTCTGTTATTAGGTTGGTTCCTATTCTCATAATCGCGTGTGAATAGTTAGTCACTCTCATATACCAAATGATTAATCTCAATTCCCTGTTTAGCTACATGCTTGACTCACTGTTGTCTAATGGGGCTTAGATTAGGGCATATGAATCTTAGGTGGTGCTTTAGACCCGAGTACTTTCTTTAACCTACTCAGCTTCACAAGACAAAAACCTGGGACCAATTTTCTGAGCAACCGTTTAATCAAAGTGAAAGCATTCGCCTAATCCTTGTGCAGTGGGCACAAGTGGGCAGTTCTTAAATGATTGAAGAGAAACAAGGCAAAGATTACAGGAATCATGTATTAACAGAAACCGGATAAAAACAACGCCCTTAACACCACCACAGACGTGTCTTCGAAAACCTTCAACCTTGTTTCATCCAAAGTATTGAGTTTTCAACTTCTTAAAAATCTGCTGAGGGGAGCTGTTCGTGTGTGCTTGGGTTAATGAAAAAGACCTCGTAGACAATGGCAGCAATGGCAGACCCAACGAATGGACCAAGCCAGTAGACCCAGTGTCTGTCCCATGTCCAACTTACAACAGCTGGCCCAAAGGAGACTGCCGGGTTCATGGATGCGCCATCAAAAGCACCACCAGCCAAGATGTTAGCACCCACAATGAAACCAATAGCAATGGGTGCAATTATCCCAATGTCCCCCTTCTTTGGGTCAACAGCCGTTGCGTACACAGTGTAAACCAAACCGAAGGTCATCACAATCTCGAAAACAACTGCATTCCATGCACCAACTCCAGATGATAGAGCAAAGGCCGATGTTTCCTATAACACCGCAAGCACAAAAACAAAAAATCATCATGGTTGATCAGTAAATACGCAATTGTTACATGCATATTGCACAAATTATAAATATGGTGACGGGGCAATTAAAAATTTCTCACCTGTCCACCAGTTGCCAACTTAAGAAGCAAGCAAGCAACTACAGATCCAAGGCACTGGGCAACCCAGTACAGAAGACTTCTAAAGAATGTTATATGGCCACCAATGAAGGCACCGAATGTAACGGCAGGGTTTACATGCCCGCCAGAAATGTTGGCACCGACTGACACCGCAACAAAAAGTGCAAAAGCGTGAGCCAACGAGGCAGCTACTAGCCCGGCCGGGGTTGATGAGCCATTATCGGTAAGCTTATCTGCAAAACATCCATCATTTTGATTATTTACCAGCTATTGAGCTGAGGGGAAAAAAAACAGAGTGGTGAATTGATAGATTCTTACTGAAAGCCATGCCAGAGCCTTCCCCTGCAAAAACAAAAATGAGCATAGAAATGAACTCAGCTAGAGCTGCCTTGAGGGCATCAGGTTGGCCAGCCTCTGCTGGAGATCCGAATGCAATGCTAGTGATTGCCATTTGAGTAATTTAATAAGCTCTGTGCCTGATTTCAAACTGCCTTGAAATTTCTGTTTTTTCACGTTTCTGAAGCTGATGAGTGCTGATCACTCGGTGACGGTATATATAGGGGGTCTCATGGAACGGTCATGACTCATGAACCAGAACAACCGGTTATATCAGAGTCCAGCTATATTTTTAACTGGGTCCTTGCTGGAAGCCACCTGTCTTTTTCTGATAGGTGGGCCGCCATTTTGTTTCTATTTTGCCACGTGTATGGCTGATGTGACGTAGACCGACCACTCGAGGGTGGAGAAGTTCTCGCATTGACCAATAGTTTGTTGGGTGGGGGGACCCCCAATGATTGTCGAATGACCGACCAATGGATTTGTTTATGGTGTACTGATGTGAGCAGGAGCAGTTTGGAACTCCGTTGTAAACGGGCGTTTTATAAAAATTTAAATATAAAAAAATTAATTTTTAATTTTTTTAATGTTTTGATATGGAAAAAAAAAATTAAAAAATAAAAAATAAATATTATTATAATATATTTTTAAACAATTTTTTTTTAAACAACCAATACCACCTTTTCAAAAACTAATTTTATTTACTAATAATTTTTTTTATATATTTTTAAATCCTAATCAAAGTTAGGAATGGTTATTAAAGTTAGTTTTGGTAGAGTAATGAATATTTGGTGATGGTATATGTGGAGCTGGTGGCCAATGAAGAGAATAATTAATTTAAAAGTATTTTTAATAATATTTTAGTTATTTAAAAAATTACATCTAACCATGTATAATTTAACTAATTAAGTTTTAAATTTATTTTTTAGAAATCATTAGTTTAAGCTTTACAAATCTTAAAATCATTAAAAATTTATATAATTATTAATTTTAGAGTCTGTGAGATTAATCAAAATACATGGAAACTGCTTTAAATATTCATATTAATTAAAAAATTAAATTTAATATTATCTTATCAACTGATTTACTAATCATGTAATCATTGTAACAAAAGATTAATTTAGAATCTCAATTTGTGATGGCATCAAATTACTTATGATGACTTTTAACTATAATTTTTTTATTGAAGTTGTAATAATAAAAAAACAAAAAATTTTAAAAAAAAATGCAGGTATTATATATCCTCTTTATTTTACATACAGATTTGCCCATCATCTCGAGCATTTGTAATCATCTAGATCAACACAAAGTCAATAAATTCTGAAAAGTAAATATAAAAAACACCCTTATTTTTTTAAAAATCTTTTTAATTTGATAAAATGCTTATATATATATATATATATATATATATATATATATTGTTGTCGTCCTTGCTCTTGACGGTCCATGCTTAGTTTCAGAGTATTTGAAATAAAAGAAAAGATCAAGTTGAATACTTGTTTTTAATTCTCAAGTTATGCTTTTAAAAAACAGCTATAAGTCGCAGCTCTTTTATAATCAAGATTGTAAAAGTTTTTAATGTAACGCATGATATGATATATATTAATTAATAAAATAATTTTAAAATTATAATTGAGATAAAAAAGGCACCTCGTCACATTACCAAACAAACTAATAAAATAATAAATGTATAATTTAGTAATAAAATATATAACCATTTTATTATACTAGTCCTTTATGTGTATATTTATAGGATAAACTCTTTTCTTGCTTTCCAATTCTTATCCTCTTTTACCCCTTAGTAAGGGTGTTCAGATCCTTTCATGCATCATGGAATCATGCCCTCTACCATAATCCAATTATTTTAACAGTTTGCTATGAACTTATCTCTTAATTATACTGGATTTTTTTAATCAAATCGGAGAAAAGAATAAGGTCAAATAAGCTGTTAAAATTCATAGAAAAACAAGCAGGTAAGACGGCAATGATGGGCTTGGCATTCCCATATGAATGCATAACCATAAATGATTATTGAACCGACCATGTACGTAAATGTTTGATAATTATTTCCAATGCCGTCATGTCATTAATCTATGCATATAATAACCCTGGTTTCAGCATGATTTCATCTTGTCCTTGAATGGAAGTGCCAGGGCAGGTGTGTTAAAGAATGTTTGCCACCTCCCTCTCCTCCCCTACCTCTTATTTTCTAATCTTATCTGCTTACATTTGTTATTCTCTGGACGGCTAAGTGGGCTGCCCGGAAGATACTTTATTTCTCAATCCGACTATTTGTTATGCGGGAAGGAGATTGACTGGCTATAACTATGGAGCGTTTGGTATTGTATTTTTAAAGTATTTTAAAATATTGGTATTGTATTATTTATTTATTTACTTTAAATTAATATTTTTTTATTTTTTCAAATTATTTAGATGTATTGATGCCAAAAATAATTTTTAAAAATAAAAAAAAATAAAAAATTTTAATATATTTTAAAATGAAACACGTAAACAACCTTTTAAATGAGAGAGAGTGAGGGTTTTAGGCTCAGTTCCTGCTCATGGCATAAAAAAACTGAAGTTATAAATTAAGGATTTTATACGTATGGGAAACTGGTGATTTTAACTTGGGCTACCAAGTCTTGGGCTGGGTAGGTTGAGCTGATAATTTGTGTTAGAAACATCAAGACCGAGCACAAACTGTCGGGCTTAAACTCTATTTGGGCCTTATGGGTCAATAATCAGATATATTACCTTATCATGCCACGCACATCAACTATGATTTTTTTTTTTTTTCCCTGCCTTAACGTTCTGTTCAAAAATGGCCAACTCGTTATCTCTGTTCCTCAGAAACATCTAGTAGCCTAATGGCCAGACGCAGAACGAAAATTCCAACCCATCTGGGCTCGAAGCTTCGAACCAGCAAGAGTGCCGTAGACTCACTCTATCAAAGACGGGATCGGACCTTAACCCAAGCCTAAATCCCTAAACCCTTCCTCTCTCTTGTCCTGACACCATGGGCCGAAATCAATATCCACAAATCGAACATGTCAGATTTTGATTTCGAAGGTCCATAAAACGGGCCTAAACAACCAATCTCCTTAAACATGCACCATGTCCCTTCAAAACATTGAGCTCAATGGTCCTTCAATTATGGAGCTATACAAGATTTCGGAAAACGAAATGTGTCGGACGTGTACAAGAATCTAGTCTGATTCGAGAGGAACTACAAGAGCAACGCTATTCAAACAAGATGGTCAGCATATTAATTACTCTCCTTATCATTGTAATAGCAATG